GAAGCATCCTGGGCCTCCATAACACCTCGGCAGTGCCACAGGCTGATTGCCTCCATGCCACGTCACATTGAAGCAGTCATTTCTGCAAAAGGATTCCTCACCAAGTACTGAGTGCATAACTGAACATAATTATTTGAAGGTTGACTTTTTTTGTATTAGAAACACTTTTCTTTTATTGGTCGGATGAAATATGCTAATTTTTTGAGAAGGACCTGTATTTTCTGAATAAATGACACTGTCACAGTTTGTATTGAAACAACACCAACTTGTTTTAACTGGATGTGAGGCAGTGCTCACAGCAGAGAAAAAKGGGATAGTGGTTGATTTTCAGACAAGATGAGAWGCCRATCTTTTCCACTGAGYATAGKCCGATCTTCCAAAATTAAGGATATCARTGCACCCCTAGTAATATCTGACCAACWTCTACCTACCTCCAGATAATATCAGGTCATTAAGCTCCACTTGGAGCAGCTGAAATACATTATTATTTCTCTYTGATGAATTTTACTTGAAACCTTTAGGTAAAATCCATCACTCTATAAATGAATCCCCCTCCAGAAGAGCTGTTTCTAATTAATTATGACTGAAGATATCTGAATCTGGCTGTAATCAGACAGGTCGTTTGTCAGAACTGCACCCTGGTTCCAGGCCTTCAGGGGTAACAGCAGAGGATAATTCAGCAGACTGAGTGTATTGGGGGGGGGGGTTCTTTACCGATGCCAGACGAGTCCTCCACCATGGGATTGATCTCCACCATGGAGGCGTCGTACTTGATGAACAGATTGTAAAGTTTGATCATGTTCTCCGCTGCCTCGTTCACCAGCGCGGGAGGRAAGCCCATCTTCTGAGCGACCTGCAGCAACACAAAACATTTCAGCACAGATCAGMTCATCTCCTGAGGAGATCAGCTGTGGTCCCTGCTCACATTTACGGATATGCCTTGGTGTTCTACAGTGCAGCTTTAATCAAATTTAAATCTGATTTTTAATCAGACRGCTCAGTTATAAAGAAGAAACAGTTTTAARCATCAGAGTCCTGCAGATGTGTTCTGTGTTTTTCCAGGATCATKAGTGAATTTTCATCTGCCTTCGTCAACACCTCTGGTACCAGTTAGTCAGTCAGCACTCAGACTTGCTGCTGAAGTAAAGAAAGGACTCATAATGTAAGAGGAAAACAAGAGTAAAAGCCCCCCAAAAAGCCCACCTGCCCGCTGTCAAAACATTTCACCTAAAGCAAGCAACACGACGTGAGAAAATGAGCCAAAAAGGTTTTAACTCCAACTGACAACTAAACAAGAAGGGGAAAATATCCCTGAAAAGCTCAGGGGTTGATTGTGCAGCCAGCTGAAAAGAAAAGAAAAGAAAAGAAAAGAAAAGAAAAGAAAAGAAAAGAAAAGAAAAGAAAAGAAAAGAAAAGAAAAGAAAAAACTTTTAACATTAATCTGTACTCGTTTCAGTTAATGGTAACATCAAATATTATACACACTAAACCCAAGTTATTAACCAGATGTATTTTACTGTTTCCTACAGAGCAGCTCACAACATGYTTGTCTTTAAATGAGAACAAATAAACAGGAGTTAGTTCACATGAGCTTGTTCTAAAACCTGAAAAATATGACCAATTAAAATAACATTAGCAGCTGTTTCTTAGTCTTTAGCTTGTTAGCTGGTGGACTTGAGGGGTTTGTATCTACAACTGAAAATAAATAACTAGTTCTGTAAAATAGCTTCAGTTTCAGGTTTAGACAGAAAGTAAAACAAGAACTGGTCACAGGATTAATAATTTATCATATCTGGCAGGCCGTCCCTCTCCACCTGAGCCCTGAAGAAAAACAAATCCAGGGTTTGACTAACTGCAACAAGGACAAATGAAGCTGGTTAACTCTGTAAATTAACCCAGGACTTATAATTTTGGATTTGATCTGTTTCATGTAAARCAGTCAGAGCTGCATGAGAAAACCACTCAGAACATTAGATCAGGTAGAAAACTCCATGGGCTGAGAGCGAAATGCACAAAATACAAACACAATTTCAAAGAAGATGGGACATTGCACAAAACATAAATAAAAACATAAAATGATGATTTGCAAATCCTTTTCAATCTATATTCAGCTGAATACACTACAAAAACAAGATATTTAAAGTTCAAACAGATAAACTTTGTTTTTTTAATATATATTTTCTCATTTTAAATTTGATGCCTGCAACACGTTCTAAAAAATCTGGGACAGAGGCAACAAGAGACAGAGAGATTTAAGGAATACTAAAAAAAAAMCCACCTGTTTGGAGCATACCAAAGGTGMACAGGTTAATTGGAAATAGATCAGTGTTACGATTGGATATAAAGTGAGAATCCTTGAAAGGTTCAGTAGTTCACAAGCAAGGACGGGGTGAGGTTCATCACTTTGTGAATAACCATTTGAGCAAATAGTCCAACAGTTTAAAAACAATGTTTCTCAACATACAACTGCAAGGAATTTAGGGATTTCATCATCTACAGTCCATAATATCACAGAAACATTCAGACAATCTGGATAAATCTCTTCAAGGCTGAAAACCAACACTGAATGCCCGTGACCTTCARTCCCTCAGATGATACTGCATTCAAACTGCATTCAAAACAGACATTCTGTAATGGATATCACCACATGGGCTCAGGAACACTTCAGAAAACCACAGTCAGTGATGTAGTCTCTACATCTACAAGTGAAAGTTAGAATTCTACCATGAAAAGTCAAAGCCAGATATCAACAACATCCAGAAACACTGCCGGCTTCTCTGGACACAAACTCATCTGAGATGGACTGATGCAAAGTGGAAAAGGAAAAGTATCCTGTGGTCAGAGGAGTCCACATTTCAAATTGCTTTAGGAAATCATAGTCAAGGCGGCTGTGGCGGAGTGGTTAGGGAAGTTGTCCTGGAACCGGAAGGTCGCAGGTTCGATCCCCCGTCCAACCATTTCAGTCGTCGTGTCCTTGGGCAAGACACTTCACCTGCCTTGTCTTGCCACCTGCCTACTGATATTAGTCACAGTGGCACAGTATGGCAGCCCTGCCTCTGTCAGTGCACCCCAGGGCAGCTGTGGCTACTGTGTAGTTTACTATCATCAGTGTGTGAATGTGTGTGTGAATGAATGATGCATGAAAATTGTAAATAGTCTTTGAGGGTCTCGAAAAGAGCTATATAAGGCATTATTATTAACATGGACGTGGTGTCCTCCGGCCCGGGCTAAAGTGGAAAAAACTGTCCAGAATGTTACCAGTGCAAAGTTCAAAAGCCAGCCTCTCTGAGAGTATAGGGTTCAGGGTTTCCCCTACATGTAATTGATTGTGGCGCACCCCATGGCAAGAAACATAGCCGCCACACTTTCAGAATAAAGATTTATTCCTTTTTTTTTTTTTAATAAAAGGCTTACATTAGGCTAAAACAATGTAAAGG